CCGTTTCCCGATCTACAATTTACACATTTAGGGGTAATCGTGTTTTGCCTACCACATTTGAAGCAAAACAGGCTTCTTTGAGCAGAAGTACAATCTCTAAAACCATGACCAGGGGTTTGACAATTCCAACATATTAAAGGCGTGTTTATAGCAGATACATCAACTATTTCATCACATTCTTCAAAAACCTGAATTTTTCCTACTTCTTCCTCTTCCTGAATGGCGTTTACCCTAGGATGTCTGTTAAAGGTTGGAGGTTGTATTGGGGCTGACTCTTTGCGGAAAAAAGTTCGTTCCACTTCTAAACATTCCACTCTTAGTTGCTCAAGAGATGAGACTGGCATGGAGTAGACTATACTTGATACATTTTTTCGCAAATTTTTCTTGACTAGTGAGATCATCTCAAATTCGGACACCGGTCTCACTAATTTTGACCTCATCAAATTGATGTCATGGAAAAACTCATCTATAGTTTCTCCTGGTAATTGTTTTCGTTCCAGTAGGTCTCTCATCTCTTCAAAACAAGTTCGCCTGGTTTTAAACCTTTCTAGTAACCCATGTTTTAGTGATTCCCAGTCCATTATGTTGTTATTGCGTTGTTGCATCCAGAACCACTCATATGCCGAACCTGATACTAGAATATGAAATTCGTTTAATATCTCATCCCATGGTAGGTTATAGTGTTGCTGGAAATACTCCAACCGATAAATAAAATCTTCTACGCCAAGACTATTGGGCCTACCTGAAAAGTTTAGTCCAAATCTTTCAACCCTAATTCCTTGACTCGATGAACTTATACAAGATGGTGTAACGGTATTCCTACGATACATTCCAAAATTATGTTCTCTGTTGGGCGGAGGAACCTGAGGTATAAAATTTTCAGACGACCGTCTAGGAATTTCCCTTGACTGTGTACCAGCGTTAGGATTTTCATTACGTCCATCAATCGACATTCTTGACATGGTTTCATTTAGTTTATCTATTAATTCATACACCTTTTCCATTTCCCGACTCACACTTTCTTGTACCAAGGATTGTAAGTTGTTATTGGCATAGTTAAGACTCTCTTGTACCAAACCTCTAACAATATTTTCAACTTCTATGGGAGAAATAGGCGGATTTTGCGGTAAAACTGGCTGGGGGATATTTTGGCTCATTCTGGCTGCGGCGCTTGTACTAGGATTGTTGTTGGTTATAGAACCGGACAAATCCCGTATTGTTGGGTCAGTATTGTTTTTAGAGTTTTGCATATTTATATCTGTTGGTTTTTTAGTTAGTTTTGGCATTGGTGACGAAATGGAAGATCGACTAGTATCAAAAGTCAACGACCTATTTCTTTTGCTTCTTCTTTTGCTATTGGCTAATTTCTCGCTCATTAGGAATGTATGGCGATTAGCACAAATTTAAAGTTTCGCGCGGTTATTGGTTTGAATTTTATCTTAAGTCAACACTGAATTAAATTCTAAATTCTAAAAATTTGGTTAGATAAAAAAAATTATAATTTTTAAAATTGGGTTAACAAAAATTAAAGTTACTATTAATAAAAACAAATATATTTACTTTTTTACAACACAGATACACATATGGGAGGTAATGGGACGTTATGCAAGATAAAGTGTGTGGTATTTTTTTTTTTTTTTTTTGTTATTAATTATTTTTCTAAGTGTCCTAAAAATAGGTCGTTATGGCGTACTGAAGACTGGACTATTCATTACATTGAAAAATACACAGAAACATTAAAGGACATACACCACGGCAGTTTTCTTCAATGAAGAAGAAAAAAGATATTTTAAGACTATTACACAATACAGTCAATGACAACCATGGTCAAAGCTATTATTCATATGCCATCCTTAGTCTAGGTATTATAAAAAGACAGTAAAAAAAAAACACAGGTCATATACATTCATTGTTACAATTTGTCAAGAGCTTGCACTAGACCCTAACTTATGGAATATTATATCCTAATTTTCTAATTACTTAAACTAGATATTGCACAATTGACACAGATTGAAGAACAATATGTGGATGCAAGGTGTTATTCAGAAACTTAATAAATTATATTTCACGACAGGTCTATTAGTTTTGGTATTATTGCACAACATATATTATTTATTTGTCCTTGTCGTATTAATGTTTTTGGCGCCTTTGTTTTGCGCATAAGTAGTGACAGGTGTTATTGCACCGCTTATAGGGGTGAATTCCCAACCCTACCACCATCAGCCCTAGGGGTCGAACAATCAAGAAGGAAAACGGAAATAGAACAACAAACAACAATACAAAATGACAACACACATACGACCATAACGAGGGAATTTGGTGTCAATTATTCCCGCACTTCGCCCGCCCAACCTTGACCCTTTTCGTCCTCATAAACACTTAATTTTAAAGGGCCCCTGCTTCCACACACACTCACCTTACTGCAACATCATCCAATCTTCCTCCCTCACAGAAAACAACTAGCAATTCATATTAATCTAAACATTCACACATAAACAATATTTATTAATTTCATTATTTCTTGATTACTTAAACCTAACATAAACACTTAGTCAATATTCTGAATTCCTAACACCTAAAACCATCGATAAGTCACTGTTTCAGACTACCCACACAATCTATTGAAACGGCTCCTTCTGGCCACTCTATTATACTATTACCTCACCTAAAAGAGCTCTCTTAAGTCGTTATTGGGGAGATTACCATTTGGTCCCCAAAATAGGCAAATGCAAGTTTCCAATAAGATATTTGGGGTAACCCTACACTTGTCGCATTTGTTAGGCGTTAAAAATTCTCACAATTCAAAATCTTAGATATTAATCACTAAATACTAACACACAACACACTTAATCTACCACTTAAAATTTAGTAAATATATTTTTGTTTGGTTTTTTTTTTTAAATTTTCTGTCATTTGGTGATTTGCTTGTTTTTAATTTGGTCTTTGATTACTAATTCATTTTTTGTTTTACTTTCAGATCCCTCAGGCTATTGGCATTTAAATTTCGACAAAACAATGGTTACCTGGTTTCCAGATACTTATTTTTCCAGGATTTTTTGGACGGACAGACACATCAATTTATTGGCCAACTGCGTTCAAGCTTGTGCTGGCGTGCTGTCTTCACTTTGGGCTTAACCGTCTTCCAGCCAATTATTCTAAAACCGTGAGCCACATAAATATTTTTTGCCGAATAAGCCCCAAAAAAAATTCGGATGACCTCCTCCGTGCAACGACTTGGAGGGGCCAATGCTTGCCTTTTTAGTTGATGAGGATGTTGGCGAGATCTATACAAAACACCAACATTAAAACACATAAAATATTACCGAATTACACTACTTACTTTATTTTGTTCGCTCGCAGGCATAAGGCACTCAACAATAAAAAACAAACACAAGTCTTAATAAATTTTGGGGATTTCTTGTTTATCTTGGGGATTTTTGTTTTTTTTTTTTGTTTTGAAAATTTGTTATAAATTATAGTCTCTCGACCAAACACCAAATAAATTTGATCGAATTTTCCCCCCCGTTATGCCTTTTATACCCCCGCAGCCAGATGCCATTTTCCCACTTTTCTGAGATTCTCGCGCATTTTCCGACATTTATCATTTTTCCTTTATCTTACCTCTTGATCCCTACACTCGACAGGGTTGTATTTGCCAGGCCTAAATTTCAGACCAGATGGCAACGCATGAATTTCTCAACCGCTGTACTGAGCTTACTGTATCCGGCTCACTTTTTTTTTTGGCCGGCAGCAGCATATTTTGTTTTTCTGCCATTCTCACATTCGTCGACCTATTCGTACCATGGGGAACGTTTTTTAATTCGTGCAGTTCAATTCGGACACATCGCAAAAAGATTCGCACAGCAAAGTCAAGTTTAAATAGCTGTCCACTGAATTTGTTTATATTTACAGTAAGACAAAAATAAAACATTAACATGATTAAACGACCCAAACCTGGAGAAACCGAGGAGGACATTCTCCGTATGCAAGAGGAGTTCTTGGCCCAAAAAGCGAAAAATCCTCAGCTTCAGCCGGCAGCTCAAATTGTGAAGATTGACAAACGTGAGTTTGCGAACTGGTGAAATTGTGGAAATCATTAAAATTCAAATCATTCTGATATTCCCTACAGCTCCCAAACAATCTTTGTTCGCCAAGGCACGTCAGCAAACACAGATAAAACCTCATCCTCAATCCAATGATTCCACTGATGTCTCTGTTCCTCTAGCCTCGCAAAACACTGCAAAGATTATTTTACAGGAAATCCATCAAAAAATTGTTGGTGACAGTGCCGATACAGAGACATCCAAGACCATAACCGATATTGTAATGGGTGATATTGTGGAAAAATCATTCGAGTCGCCCAAAATTGTAAATTATTCGAATGAAGTGGAGACGGCAGCCTTTCCCAAAATTCAAAAAATATCATTGGGGAATTTTGCTTCTAACTCTGAGAAAAAGGGTAAAAGTATTTTCGCTCAAGCAGCTTTGGGTAATAAAAAGGGCGGAAGTTGTGTAAAATCCGAACCCATGGAAGTGGATGAACCTGTTGTCAAGGAAAAACGTAATGATTTAAGTAAATTATATGGCCAGGCAAGTGTAATTGTTGAGGATTCAAAGACAGCCAATGAAGTCCATAATGAAAATCTAAATTTGCTGTGCAAAATGAAAGAGGAAGAGATATTGGCTGAACGGAAGAAATTGATGGAGTCAATAGGTAAGATGGTTACATGAAAAATAAAATAGGTTTTATGAGATAATTTAGAATAGCATAGATGTAAGCTATTCGTTTTCTAAAAATTTTACTGACTGCCTATTTAAATATGAATTTTAAGATAACGTCGAAAAAAATATGTGTACCATGACATGATGCAAATTCAAAGACTAGCCAAAACTCGGTAATATAAATGTCCATGTGACAAAGTCTTATATTCTGTCTGTAGCCCTCCCGCCTAACCATAATAAAAAAATTGTAAAAAATATATTTACAATCAGCTAGTGGAATGTACCTATGTCCTTCGGTTTATTAATATAATAATAAAGTCTTCCCCTGAGTAACAAATAATACGATGGTCTATTAGAATTTAATAATTTGTTTGTTTTCAGATCCTGCAATTGTGGCTCTACTTGCTAAGAAACGTCAGGAAAAGGCACAACAATTAAAGTCCACGTATCCAGCTCAAAAATCACCTGCATCGGATTCAGCAACACAAAAAGTATCGCCAACAGCTGCATCACCCCATGAAAAGCCGATAGTCGATGATACATTGCCACCCACAAATCCAGCTGTTGAAATACTACAACGTTCTGCTGCTGAAGAGTGGATACATTTCGATGTTGTGGAAAAAGATAAATTAGAATGGATGCGTGATATACCGTTGCAATCGGCCAAACTTAAACCGGGACAAAAATTTGAAGCACGATTTGATTGGAAGGGCGTCTTGCTACCATATACCATGGATGAAATAACACAAACTGATAAAGGAAATGTTGAAAAAGATGATCGGGAATTATATATGCACGGTGATGAACCACACAGACCGGGTTATACTCTACAGGAATTATTTAGATTGGCTAGATCCAATGTAATGCAGCAAAGGGTGACGGCGTTTAGTGCCATTGCAGGCATTTTGAGTATCTATCAACAAGGCTTCTATGATCAAGTTTTAGATTTGCCAATAAGCAAAATATTTTTCCTACTAAGATTTGGTTTTGATGACAATACACCTGCAATGCTGGAAATTGTGGGTAAGGCATTGGCATATCTGTTTTACAATGAAACGGATGAGGTAAGATGTTATGTTTTTTTATTGATTTTATATTTTGAGGTAAAAAAATTTCTCTTTAGACTCTTTTAGATTTCTCATATGAAAATCCAGGCTGCCAATGGCAACCATGTTTACAAGTTTTGCAGTTGGAAACAAACACCGAAGATGATGAAATGAAAACAATTGAACATTTACAAAAACAAATGCAACAACTGCAAATGTCATTCAAAGGCTCGGCGCATACAGTCAATGCCAACGTCGAGGAAAATGAAGAGGAAAGTAAAACATCTATGAGCGACTTTCAATTAGCAGAGACTGATTTAATAGATTGTCTATTGCGTACAAATATTTTACAAAGGATTTAGTAAGTTCACAGATATTGTTTGTCTTTTAAGAATTTGATAAATATTTGTGTGTTTCGTTTACAGTTTTATTTTGAATGTTGTAAAACCGGAAAATGGCACCGTATCATCGTGTTTGAAATTGCTTATACGCCTGGCAAGATCGGGCAAAGAAGTGGCCTTACAAATTGTCAATAATGATGATTTAATGCATTGCCTATTCGATAACTTTTTACCGGGTTTGGAGAAAGTCGGTATGTTAAAGAATTAAAAAGATATTTTTTTGTATTTATAATCTCCATCATATATTCAATTTGTCAAGCAATAACTATAAATATTTGCCGGAGATCTCATCAAACTTCTATGCCGATTTCGCCATATTCATATATCCGTTTAAATTTATATATACTTCTATAAATTTATATTATACATTTATTTTATATTATTTAAATAGATACCTGCCTCCAGACACCACCATTCTACAATTATCCCCAATATTTATGCCTGAAACTAATGAGAATTTTAATCTCTTGCAACTTAAGTATTGCTGTGAAACTGATCAAATTTAAATTAATTGATATTTTGGAAAATTATTTATTCAATCGTGAAGATAAAAAGGTAAATTATATTATACACATTAAAAAACAATCACACAATATATTTCATTTTATTCTGTTTTATTTTATTTATTTTCTACAGGGTAATCTTATAAAAGTTCAAATTGAGTCACTACGTTGTTTAAGATGTTTACTACTTTTGCGTATGGAAAATAATACATTACACAGGTAAGTAGTCAAAAATATTTCCTTATTCTTGTTCGTCTTCTTTAATCCAAAATAAAACTTAACTTATCACTCAATATTATGGGATTAACATCCACATAACATTTCAGTGTATTAAAGGCAATTTTACATTTGTCATCGCCATCTAAAAAAAACGAAAATGAAAACATTTATAATTACATGCTTCTGCTAATTGCTTATTTGTAAAATAATAATTCCTTACCTTTCGTGCCACATGATTCTATTAAATTATTAATCATTGGATGCAATTCATCCGGTAATATTTGTAATAAGACATTCAAACGCATTACATTATTTTCGCTGATCTGTGCCGAGAAATGAAAACCAAAGGGCACGATCATATTTGTATTTGTTTTTAATTTTGTAAACTAATACTCACAATTCCAACCATATCGAATATACAATGTATATAACACGCAAAATTATCATCATTTGGCAATATGCCACTGAAGCTCGATCTTATGACATCTGAAAAAAAATTATTATTTTTTTATAAATGATATCACGAATATATAACAATACCAATAGAAAAAAAATACTCTACCAACCATCGGGTGTATGGGTTTGATTTTGACATAGCTGATGCACTCTTTTGGCTTGCTTTCTAAAAGGTTCAGGAACATCAAACTGCAAGTAAAAAAATCAATCAAATAATTAATAGAAAAATATGTTGATTTTTGAAAGATGAAAATTTAATTGATATAAGTGGCGAATTTTCGAACACTGGTCCTAAATTTTCAGCAGAGTTAAATCCCGTGAAATTTCTATTGACCTGTCTGGTTTTCCAATTGCTTTCGCATCCTCCGTACTCTCCAAATCGAGAAACCGGACATTATCTCTCGTTCTCAGATATCAAAGAAATTTCGTAAAATTAAGATATGATCACCGAAACTGATGTATATTAAGGTTGAATTGTTCTACAACAAGTAAAAACGTTATAATCCGATTGGACAGAGGTTACCAAAAAGGTTAGGGATGTACGGTTGTTAGTAACAATAATCAACTCGGAGACTATTGTCCATTGTGATCATCCTTTATATCTGAAAAGAGAACGGGAAGAGAAGAGAGAGTGGAAGAGCAAGAAGGAGATAGTAGGAGAGCCTAGAGATGGTTATTTTAGCCATGTCAGATTTTTGACAAAACCTAGGATCTGGTTGGGGTACATTTTAGAGAAAAAGGCTAGATTATCGATTTCATATCTACGGCATTCTCGTTCCCTTCAATGTCACTATGTATGTATATAAGTTAACTGTCTGTCGTGCATCACTCAGAACGGACTATATATATGTATATAGTTACCGGTCCCGTATTGTCGGCAGTAAGTGTTTTTACTATCTCGGCCGCTTTCGTTATTGCAAGGATTTCTGTTTGAAAAACGCTACAAAGATTGTTAAGTTTATATGAGTTGTATATTTCTAATTCCCTACAGTAAACGCCAGCACCAGTGCCTTCCTCCATCTTTGTCCGTCTGTAAAAAATGGCAGACCTGGCAGAGGTAAGGAGTCACTAGTCCAGGATTCCCTACTAGGAAAGTCTACTACTTCTTTCATTAAGGTCTCTGTGAGAAGGAATATAGTCACTAATGTGACTATTTCTTCTCAAGAAATCACAACCTGGCATTATGTTGAGGATACCAGCGTGACCATTGTTAGGAAATCACCTGCGAAATTTTCTCCGAAGACATATTTGATTGTTGGAAAATATGAACTCATTTAGTCACATTCCGTCGAATTTCGGAGTGTTTTATTTGAAGATATGTTCTCTGTGTGTCGTTGAGGAAGGATATTCCTAATCAGTGTCTTGCTTTATTTCCGATCCAAGGGGTATCTGCAAGAGGTTTTAGAACCGTGTTCTTTCAAAATATTTGAAGATCACTTCTGTTATGGTCACACACACAATTTGTCTTATTATATTTCAGGATTGATTTGGAAATCAGTTTTTCCTTTTTGCTCGTTTTCTATTTTTGTATGCAACAATAATTTATTGTTTTTGTATTAATCTCAGATATATCCATCTCTCCTCCTCTCCTGTGTGTGCTTAATATTCACTGATACACTTATTTCAAAATTAACACTTACAGCATTACTTTGAATGATATTAACTATCATTATAAAAACGATGAAAAGAAATATAAATAATTTCATATTAAATATTTTTTTATTGTATTTCGTTAATTCCGTTTTAAACTTTATTTATACACCTCAACAGACAATAACTTAAATTTTTATTTCATGACCTTTATATATTGTGTTTAAACAACATCTAACATGATTTAGCACATTTCCGTGTAGACTATATTAAATAATAAATAACTGTATATGTATAAAAATTTTTATATTGTTTTATGTTTTTTTTTTTATTTTTTCCCAAGAAAATTTGTAACCGCCTTTCGTTACATGCTCGATTGGCATTACAATCATGTAACCTACGAAGAGGGCGGACCATTTTTGATACGCCAACACGCAGCAGCATTGATGACAACCATCGCCAGTATTAATAGTCCAGTTGGTTCCGAAGTGACAGCATTGCTGGGAGATATATTGCATGATTGTTGCTGCAATTGGTTCCATAAGGCGAATCGCTATGGTGTGAAAGAGGTAAGTTCGCTCTTTAATTAAAATCCGTATTGGTGCAATTAATATGTCAATTTTTTGGAAATTGATTCCTTTTAATTTACATTCCGATTTGTTTTTGTTTTTTAAGTTTTCCCAAGCCACCTTGCTGAGCTCGTGCCTTAATGCCGTTACATGGTATATACGCAATACGGATACGGCACGTTTTCAAAATTTCATTAATAAATATTTGTGTGATTTTATAAAATCGGAGAACTTCATCAAATTTATTAATATAATAAGGTAAGTGGGAGTGTGTTTTATTCAATAAGATTTGATGTCGATTTTCTTTTAAAAGGCCTTTAAACGGTCTTCACACTATGGAAGAATAATTATAGAATACCTTTTATGTGAAGATAATTAACAAAGGGTTATCTATGTACATAATTTTATATAGATAGAAGACTTTTGACATGTAAAAGATTTTTTTAATAGCATATTACTTACATATATAATATCTCATAGGAGTCTAATATGCTAAAAAGTCCTGCCAAGGATCTTCTGCAAACAGAAAACCTTTAATAAATCATTTATTTTATAAAAGCCAAAGAGGATTTTTTTGTAATTTTTTCAATGACTGGGATAGTGAATTTTCAATAAATAAGTCTTGGATTATTAATCATATGGAAACGTTTTTGGGTTTTGCTTAACCACGTGTAGACGATGTGTTATTCCCCAATACCCGGAATCAAAAAAAAAAAAAAAAAACATGAATCCTTGCACAGATCGTTGCTTTATTGACACTTTATTGTACGACTATACATTACAGCTTTAGCTTACTTGTGGTTTTAACCCGCGATCTCACTACCTTGACATTTTTTACGCCTAGTAAAAAATTCAACGTAGAACGTAGATTTGTTTTCTTAAGAAAATTATTTCTAAGTCTAGTAGAGCTTCGATTTTTAACATAATATCCTTGCAAGGTCTATTAAAGTGTGGATTTTTTAAAGAAAAAAATCTAGTAAAAAAACTACTTTTTAAAGGCCTAGTCAAGTGAGAAAAGGTTCTCGTTAATGAAAAAGAAATTGAAAATTTCAAGTTTTAGTAAAGTGTGGAGTTCTTAAGTATACATTTTTATGTTTCAGCAAAATGTGTATTTTTTAAACCCAAAAATTGTCAAGGCCCAGTAAAGAGTGACATTTTAGACAATTTTGTATTTTTTGTTGAAAAAATAACTTCAAACCTCAAATTTTATAGATAAAAACTTGTCTGGATTACATCAAATACACCTTTAGAGTATTCTGTGGATATTATTAAAGGTTTATAAATTTTGTTTTGTTTTTTCATTATTTCTCTTTAGTTCATCTTCCATTATTCTACGCAAATCGGTAGATCGACGTAACGTTCACAATCCCCTACCGAATGTCGGATCGGTAATAATGAATTCCTATGGACCACAATTGGTCATAACCCAAACATATCCAATATATCTAATAACCGCAATATGGCGTCTAATGGAATTACTAATGGAAAGAGGCGAAAAACAAATATTCAATATAATGTTTGAACCAAAACTTTTAGAACCAATGGTGGAACTATTGCGTGCGCTAAGCACCAAATGCAATACTTATTTGGCAACAAATTTCTTTGCAAAAATGGAAATAAAACTGCTGTTTAAATTGTTATGCTTTGAGGGTTTCAATGAGTATTTCAAACCGGCAGAAATGTTACAAATTGTCTACAATTATCTGTGTTGTTTAACGGCCGAACATATACCCGAAGTTGAAGAACTTTTTGAACGAGTTATATTTAATCCCAAATATATCTCTGTGGAGTTGGAAACTTTAACAAAATGGCGTACAAAATGTTTGGAATTGGTCTATACCCGTTATATTGTGGTGGTAAGTATGAATGTTTTTAGTTTTTTAATAAATATATATTGAAATTAGTTTCTTTGCCGTCATAGCCTCCCAGTGAACTCACCTTGTTTTTGCCATATAGTCAGGTGCCAATACTGCCAACTGATTGGCCATATTTCCAATTGAAAATAATTCTACAACATTATGTGGAAAATGTAAAGAAGGAAACGACAGCAGATTTTTCAGGTAATACTTTTGAATTATTCCAAATATAGAAATATGCATATTCTCATTTGAATCTGTTTCAAATTTTCCAGAACGTGAAATTCTACAGATGACCCTCAATTTCGTTACCCAACTGGAAGAGTGTAATGAACATATACAAATAGTTTCGCCCACCGAGAAATTAATGTATCTGATGATAGCCTTTATGGGGCCAGATTCTCAATTCCTCGACAAGGAAGTCAATCAATTGTTACGACAACATTTAATGAAATTCTATAAGCAATGTGAAAATGTGGAATTTCAATTCGACACAGAATATCAAGGTTAATATACAACAATTTTACCTCATAAACATACTTTATTTACAAATATTCTTTTAGGAAAATGTAAATTTGAAAATCTGTATGTACTGTTTTTGGATCACTTTCAAGCTGCCAGTTATGGTGATGAATTGTTTAGCTCATTGGTAATGGTCCCATTAGCACAAAAATATGATAATAAATGGCGTCGTCGTGTATGGTCGGATCATGTATCAGCTTTAAGGTTTCTCGATTGCAAGGAGGAGCTGGTAAGTTATTCAATGCACATTTCTTTGAATCTTAAAAAATAGTCCAAATTTCATTTTAGCTCATTGGTGGCTTAACAGCCTATTTGGAACCCTGCGAAGAGGAAGAATCTTTGCTTAAAGAATATAATACAGCTTTAAATTTAAATTTGGTACGTCCAAATACATTACCATACAAAATTGCAAAACATCATTTAGATAAGTTCAAGGAACGTACAAATAAATAAAACTTTTTATAAAGGAGACAATATTTAATGTAAGTACAATTTTTTATTTTTATCCAAAAATTTACAACAAATAGAAAACAATTAATTTTTGTTCTCAATAAACACTATCTACATAAACAATGTTGATATGCACAGCAGAAGTGCAAATGAATTTACAAAACAATATGAGACTTTGTAGCTCGTGCACTCTTCTTATAATGTAAATCCCTGAATACTCCCGATTCCTTAGTTCGAGAGCGACTTAACACTCTCGAGTTGTTGATACGTGCCTTCTCCAATATTGCACTACAGATGCTCTAACAATTAAAACTTACACCAGCGTAATTTCCCTGACACTGGGATCTCTAGAGTTAGACGATCAAAGCTAATCTCATACATTAACTTATTCGACTGAGATATTGGGTTGCATCTAGCAGCAGCAATGTTGTTACGGAATTTCATTTCCGTTATTCGAACATTATTCGTTTCAAAATTAGCAGAATCAAGGTTCGAGGTTTGTCTCAGCTCGGACCAAACGAATTCGGAGCAAATATTCCAACCGTTATAAAAATTGGTCATAATGTGTCTTACTATGTTTTACTTTTAGAACAGTCTAAAAATATGCAAAGAATTATTAAGATAAGTTCTAATGATTTTTTATTTTAAAATGTTCTAAACAACAAGTAAACATAATGCCAAAACTGAATAAAAACGAAAAGTTGTGTTTAAAAACAATAACATATCTTTTATTATGTTTAGCCTACATACAGTTCATGAAAACTTAGAAATCTACGACCGCCATGATGTCGACAAAGATAATATTTATCTTCAATGAAATATTCCTTCTTTGTTGAAATTTATTCGAGAAAGAAATCACGTTTTTGGGGGATTTTATCAGCTAGCAGCGATTAACGGACGAACTGTCAATCACATGCACAATTAGTCAGACATATTTTTATATTTCATTTATTTTATTTTTAAATTCAATTAAGTATGCCTAAGTTTGATAAGATACTTGAACGTCGATAATGTCCTATTGTTGCTATCAAATATTTCTATTAATTAGCATTTTTTACCACATGCCACAGATAGTGTGGGTAATATTTTTTCTCAGAATTCTGAAAATATCTATTATTTTAATAACAATAAGAAATATTAAAAACTACATATAAGTGTGATATTTAATTACTTTGATATTTTTATATATTTATGTTATTTACAATCTTCGTGTGATTGTAAATAATCAATTGAAAAATATTTTTTTTCGGGGCCATCAACACGTGGATATTTTTAAAGAATATCTTCTCAAGGACCGTTACAAGTCAGTATATATCTCCTTATTTTGCGATCTATCTGTTAACTTGTAGGGTTTCTCGACTTCTTGGTGAATGAACAATGAGGCTCAAAGACTCATGGTTCATAGATTTTCTGGAATGTTATATTTGCAAAACTATAAGAATTGCGAAACCGTTTTCACTCCCAACCTTATAATTTTATGGTACTGCTCCCAAGTTTGGATGTTTTTGGATTTAGGGTTTTTGTAGGGTGAAAAATATATTTTTTATTTCGGGCCTTATTAGATATTTACAGGATATTTCTATGTGTTGCAAACTGATTTACAAATATAATATATTCTTCTTTTATTTAAGTTTATTCTCTCATATTTCTAAATCTTCGTCTTTTTCTCAGACTCAGTTATTTTCCCTCGTGGCAGATTTTCCAACTCATATCAGATTTTTTGCTAGCTATTAGCATATTTTATTTCTTATCCTTAATATGAAATGGTTGTTTTTGTGGAACTAGATATTTTCTACTCTCAAGAACAAAAAAACACACACATTTTTTACAATTTTATTTCCCATTTCCAAAAAAAAACTCAAACGCGTGTTCTAATGTTTTTGACATGTCGATTAAGAATCCTTAAGAGAATCATCTAAATTTAGCATGAAAATAGAAATTAACACCGCCATACGTCTAAATATGCTTCAAAGTTCGGCAGCATTAATTAATTAGCAATTGCATGCGATGGACACATTACACATTCGTACAAATGAGGGGCGGTAGAAAAGTGGGTCCGGCCAATCCCAATGAACTATCGCTGTAATTAAGCACTGTCATTTACGGGTTTTCTACTACTGTGAGTTTTTGGTTTTATTTGCCCTAATTGGAGGAAAATATACAAAAATAGACGATCCCAAAGTGGGAATTTAATTAACGAAATTTGTTTTTGTTTTGGCGGTTTCTTTCTTCCACCCTGTTGTTTAGGAAATTTGTTTCATAATTTGAGATTATTTGTGGTTTGCTGATGCTGGCTGGCACTACGTAATCATGGTAGCCTGAATCATTTGTCATCAGATTACAGTGTGTGGTCTGCCTGCTTCATACCTTCGTGTATTCGGACGTCAAAGAAACAAAATTTTCTCCAATACTCGAAAATATTATCGACATTGGAATGAGAACTATATTTCTTTGTTACTTTTTTCAAATTCTTTATTAATTAACATCACTTGACTTCTGTGTCATAATTCTGTTACCCCTTTGCGTATACCCCCACCTTTCCCATGGTCTATTTGATCTCATGGTGGTTTTCTCTATAGTCATCGTCATCATCATCTGCTATTGGAGACCACTAATTAAATTATTTCTATTGCTTGTAAGTGCCCACCGAACCGCAACCTTCCCTCGCTATTTTGCAAATTGTGTGTCAGTTGCATGGTGGTGACAATCAGCATCGGTTGCTTATTTCGAATAGATTGTGGGGGGACCATTCGAAGTCATTCGAAAACAACAACAGGCATCACCCTCACCCAGTACTTACGTACAGTTAGAACACATAACCCTCAAAAGTTTATGTCTAGCGTTTAATTGTTTTAAGCAATTATTACTATTTTCAAAATATATTTTTTATTACAATCAGAGAAAAAACTATTCGGTTGAGATTGTCTTACAGTAAATTTAGAATAAAATAAAAAACAATTAAATATTAAATAGTGGGGAAATAAAATTGATGTTAATAGATGTTGTAGAATTAATTGAAACCACTACATAATTTCAAAACAATTTGTTTAGTTTATAAAGATCCTGAGAAGTATACATCTATCAAATATTTCAATAACTCCCGTATACACCCTCATAATACACTTTTCGTCGGTTAACCAGGGTTTCATTCTCTCCCCTTTTAGGTCTTTTTTATGATCCCCAGCGCATTTTTCATCAGAAGAGACTATTCGAATTTGGCATTTATATAGTGGCAATGTTTTCACATTGCCACTATATAAAGGTTCCATCCAATTTCCGGAATCTTGAAATCCCAAACAGTATTTTGTGTTGTGTCTATTCTATGTATATGTAGGTCTATTTCGTTATTGTAGGTCTATTTCTCCTGCGCAAAAATTTTAATATGGGTTCATGTTCGGATCTTAAACGACCAAATCGCATTAGCAGTCAATTTACTTGGTAGTTCGACATTTTGTTATGAAAATCCTGACCGATTTTAGGTTATCAAAATTTAGGTCCGTTTAATTATTTTTTTCTCAACTTTGAAATTCCAAATTATATTCCGAGTGTAATAATGACCTACATTTATTTTTAGTTGAACTTTTTATAAAAAACAACAATAATAACAAATATTTCCCTTGTTTTATTTTTTGCACAAAACGCCTCTTCAATTAAGACCTGAATATAGAAAATAATAGAGACCACACACATATTGGGCACCACCATTAAAAATATCGAATTGAAAATCATGTAATTTTTTAATTAAATTTCAAATGACATAAAAATGTCAAATGTATTTACCATGAGAATTGAATCGAATTATTAGCAGCGTTTGTCATGTGAGGAAGATAAATGGAAATTCCGCAAATGATGACAAATGACTGTGGTGTCACCCTCGATTAAATAAAAGGAACTTTCGTTTTGAAATGTAATTCAATTATGATGGGCAGGAAAAATAGTGAAAACTGTTTCTATGTGTAATTGAGATGAAATGGGAAAATGGAAAGTATTTTAAAATCAATAAAGGATCTAATCTGAAAGAAAACAATACGATTTAAAGGCCCACCGATCTATAGGTAATTTTATTTTATAAAATACTATATATGTATCTAGAAAAAACCTTAACCTATTTTATCAACATGGAACCTCTTAAATATATTTCACTCCCTCACCCAATCAATTAATTATTTCAATAGGCCATTCCGTTCAATATGTGATGGTTCTTTCATTATCAATTCGTTAGCTATTTGTTGCCATATCATAAACTCACTTTTGTTTTTCTTTGTTTTTACACCAAATTGTCGTCTATTTACCCAAACCGAAATACAATTTTCTCAATGATAACAAAGTTATTTACTTAGCAGACAGAAGGTGTTAACTGAGGGCGTTGTGAGGACTGTGATAAGATTTACAACATTTGACCATTGCCAACTTTGAAACCACATCTGGTGAGAATTGTGACTCCCTAATGGCAGGTGATCCATTCAGCCAGCCAAACAACCATTCAGATGACAGCCCCCTTTTGTTTGCTTGTTGTAAATCTTTATTTAATATTAATTGACAAATGATTAGCTGTTCGATTTTTTATTGGCGTTAAGTGTTTCGAAATAAAAAAGTTAGCTTTAATTAATATTTTAATATCTATTAAGTGGTGGTTAAACAAGAGACAACAAAATTGAAAAGAAATTATGGATTTTTTTTGTTCGGACAAAAAATCAGTCCACGCTTTGTTGGGACATGAAAAAATACAATTGTGTCTGGATAGAGTGTACTAATTTTTGCATGGACTGTTCACTGTATCCAGGTGGTTATTATGAAAAAGAAATCGCGAATAATGACATACTGCTTTTCGCGGCATTTCACTTTTACTTCGTGTGAAATCGGGGGTTCACTATATCCAGACATTTGGTTTGTTAGGTCAAGAAAAATATTTTTTTAACCAGTAAAAAGGACCAGACTTTGTATAACCTCCATATTACTAATAGCCAGTGGTAGATGACATATCAAACGTACCCACCCTGAGATGTTATTCTTTAGCACTAAAGGCCTTTGAAGAA